ATTCTAGAGAAACTGGAAGTGACAAATAAAGGTCCTCAAAAAGAATACGAAAATAAAAATAAATATATTGAAAGGGGTCCTAGGGTGCAGCAAAAATTCAATGCGTACAGTAGCTACGAAAAACCGGGTATAAGTTGCTTCTATTGTAAACAAAATCATACTATATTTAGATGCGAGAAATTTTTGAATTTGACAATCGATAAAAGGTCTATTGAAATACGCAAGTTGAATTTATGTAGCAATTGTTTCAGGCGATCACACGAGCTGAAAGACTGCAGACATTCCGGTTGTAAAAAATGCGGAAAATATCACAATACATTACTGCATAATCCTAGCGTCAATGCCACCACTATACGACAACAAGCGACCGAGCGAGGGAGCGAGACAACCGCGAGAGTCACGCATGATACCGATGGTGACGTACACGAGGCTCAAGTAAGCGGCGTTGCCACGGTTAGTTTAAATACCGAGATTTTTCACGATACAGGGGAATTGGTTTCGCGCGAGGGAAAAATGGAATCAGAAGACAATGAGACTATGCATGCGATGAGTAGTGTTTATAATAACACATATTATGTTGGTAGTCAGGTTATGCTACCTACGGCTATTGTCAAAGTGGTTGATTCATTTGGTAATTTACGCGAGTGTAGGGCATTATTAGATAGTGGTGCGCAGAGCAACTTTATTAGTGAAAAAATGAGTAAACTTTTGAACTTGGAATTATTTCGAGGGAATTTTTGCATATCAGGGATAGGCAATGGCATTTCAAAGATAAAAAATAAAACAAGTGTTAAGTTGTTTTCGTGCGATGAGACTTTTAGTATGACGATCGAATGTTTAATTATGCAAAAAATAACAGATAATTTACCTACAATTTCTTTTGACAAAACTGAGCTAGAGATACCTAGGGAAATAAAATTAGCCGATCCTAATTTTAACGTAAAAGGAGAAATTGACTTGTTAATTGGGTCCTCCGTGTTTTGGGATCTTTTATGCGAGGGAAAATTACATGTGAAAAAATCGAGAATTATTATACAAGAGACCCGTTTAGGTTGGGTAGTAGGCGGTGTTATGGAATTGTCTAGGTTTACACCAGAAATTAATAATACGGTGGTAGGTTTGTCTTTGGATAAAATGATCACAAGATTCTGGGAAATCGAAGAGATAGGTTTAGAGAAAGTTTTGAGTGAAAGTGATAGATATTGCGAAGATCATTTTACTAAGAATTTTCAAAGAACTCAAGAGGGAAATTTTGTTGTTTCCATACCGTTTAAAGAGAGTATTAAGAAATTAGGAGATTCTAGGGAGAGGGCTTTGCAATATTTTTATTCACAGGAAGTTAGGTTAGAAAAGAAGCCAGAGTTAAAAAGGGAATATATTAAGTTCATGAATGAATATTTAAGCATGGGTCACATGATTGAAGTGAAAGAAGGTGAATTTGATAATACTGTTTCATATTTTTTGCCGCATCATGCTGTGGTACGTGACGACAGTGTGACCACTAAGGTGCGTGTGGTATTCAACGCTTCAATGAAAACTAAGTCAGGTCTTTCACTTAATGATATTCAATATTGTGGTCCTACTCTTCAAGACGAGTTATTAGCAATTATATTAAGATTTAGGAAGTATGAATATGTTATGACCGCGGACGTATCCAAAATGTATCGTATGATTTTAGTGAATGAGAATGATAGAAGTTTGCAGCAAATTTTCTGGAGGCCTGATGCATCTGAAGAAGTCAAGATTTATAAACTTAATACAGTGACGTACGGTACGGCGTCTGCTCCCTATCTTGCGGTGCGTTGTTTGTGGCAATTAGCCAAAGAAAACTCAACAAACTATCCAGAGGCAAGTGATTCTATTCTTAAGTCATTTTACATGGATGATTACATAGAGGGCGCTAATAGCGAAATGGAATTACTAAAATTACAATGTGAGGTATCTAATATTTTGGCAGGGGCTGGATTTGAATTACGAAAGTGGCTCTGTAACAAGAAAGATCTATGTGAAAAATTTAGAATAAACGAAGAGATTGATTCAAAAATAATGACATTTGGGGAAAATGAGTCAAGTAAAACTTTAGGTGTTGTTTGGAATGCTTGCTTAGATAACATTCAATTTTCAGTCAATATTAGAGAATATAATGTAATAAATAAGCGTAGTATTTTATCAATGATTTCGCAGATTTACGATCCGTTAGGTCTTGTAAGTCCGATTATTATAGTGGGTAAGCTATTAATGCAAAAACTATGGGAGGCAAAGATAGGATGGGAAGATGAAATACCTAGTTCTATTAAGTCAGATTGGTTGACATTTAAAAATAATTTAACTTACCTGAATGATTTAGAAATCCCTAGAAGAGCAATGTATTTGAATTATGATATTATAGAGCTGCATGGATTCAGTGATGCGAGTCAAAAGGCGTATGGTTGTTGTATTTTCATAAGGAGTATTAATAAAAAAGGCGAATGTATTTCTAATTTACTTTGTTCAAAGTCGAGAGTGGCTCCAATTAGGCAGGTAACACTGCCGAGACTTGAGCTGTGTGCTGCGTTGTTGCTTGCAAAATTGGCACAAAAGGTTATTCAACATTTAAATATTAAATTTAATAAAATTTGCTTGTGGTCAGATTCACAGATAACTTTATACTGGATACAAGGGCCTTCGAATAAGTGGAAAACCTTCGTGGCGAATCGCGTGAGTGAGATACAACAACTTACCGATGCTACGAATTGGTATTATGTGAAGTCAGCTGACAATCCCGCTGATTTGATTACGCGTGGAACGGCTGCTACTGAATTATTAAATAATAAATTTTGGTGGTCAGGGCCAGAATGGCTTTTAAATCCAAGTTTTGAGCCAACAAGTTTTCAAGGTAAGGATGATTTTAATTTTCCAAACGAGTTACCCGAACAAAAAATTATTGTAAATTTAACAATTGAACACTTTGATATAATTTCAAGGTTTTCTAAGTTTTCCAAGTTAAAAAGAGTTTTTGCATATTGTTTACGTTTTTTGTGGAATGTTCAGTGTAAGAAAAAGAATTTAATTAAAAGAAGCGGTACATTGTCTATAGAAGAGTTAGATCATTCTGTTAATGAGTTAGTTAAAATAGTACAAAAAGAATCATTTACAACAGAGTATCAAAGAATGCAAGAAAACTTACCTATAAGTAGAAAAAGTACATTGTTATCGTTGAATCCTTTAATGCATAATGGAATAATAAGGGTAGGAGGTAGATTGCAGAAATCAAACCATGAATTTGACAAAAAACATCCGATTATATTACCTAAAAATAACTTACTAACTACACTTATACTTACAGAAGAACACAGGCGTCTTATGCATGCAGGACATACACTTCTTTTATCGTCAGTTCGAGACAAATTTTGGCCAATTTCGGGCAGAAATCAAGTAAAAAAGGTTATAAGAAATTGTGTTACATGCTGCAGGTTAAATCCTAAATTTAATACTTACCTTATGGGCGATTTACCTGAGAATAGGGTCAATCAATACTTACCTTTTTATAACACTGGTTGTGACTTTGCCGGACCTTTCTTGCTTAAAGACCGAATGACTCGAAAGCCAAATTTAATTAGGGGCTATGTATGCATATTCGTATGTCTTGCAACAAAAGCTATGCATCTTGAGGTTTTAACTGATCTTACTACTTCTTGTTTTTTAGCGACTTTCAAACGTTTTATCGGTCGACGCGGGAAACCTTTAAATATTTACACAGACAATGGCAAGACATTCGTGGGAGCAAATCGTGAGCTAAAGGAACTATTTAATTTCATTAATAATCAATATCAACAGGAAGATGTCAAATTTTATTTTACAGAACAAAAAATATGTTGGCATTTCATTCCTGCTCGTGCACCGAATTTTGGCGGGATCTGGGAAGCAGGGGTTAAGAGTTTAAAATTTCATTTGAAACGCGTTGTCGGTGAGGCTCACTTATCTTATGAGGACTTCGCGACGGTTCTCATTCAGATCGAGGCAATACTCAATTCACGTCCTATTTGTCCAATTTCACCCTCCCCAGATCAACTTAATCCCCTAACTCCAGCTCATTTTCTTGTTGGGAGAAGTCTAGTATCACTCCCAGAAAAGTCTTACATTGAAACCTCAGAAAATCGCCTAACAAGGTTCCAGAGACTTCAGTATATCGTCCAACACTTCTGGAAGCGATGGCACCAAGAGTACCTCCATGAACTGCAATCCCGGAGTAAATGGAAACACGGTGATCCCTGTCCTATTAAAGTAGGATCCATGGTGCTGGTGAGCGAAGCCAACAGTCCTCCTTTGCAATGGCCTATGGGATGCGTGCAGGAGTTACATCCCGGGGTAGACGGTGTAGTGAGAGTGGTGTCGGTAAAGTTTAAGAATGGTGTCTATAAAAGGCCTGTTACAAAATTGTGCCTATTACCTTGTGACAGCAGCGAACCAACTAAACTGTAAACCCTAAACTGAGAATCTTTATGGTGTAAAAAGCTAATTTGTAACAATTAAGAATTTGGTTGTTAATTTGGTAGTTTGTAAGCAAGAAAATGTTATTAAGTTAAGCTGTTAATTTTGAAATTATATTTCAAGGCGGCCGGAATGTTACGTTAAAAATGTCTTATTGTAAAAATTTAAAATTTGGATATTTGGCAACGTTGCGCCACCTGTAGGAATACTTCCTTCTTGTCATGGCTGCCGGCAACTGAACACTGTTTATATTTTATTCACAACAATAAGTTATTTTTCAAGAATTAAACAAGTTGAAAAAGCTCGCGAGTGTTTTATTCAAAGAGACAAGCTAGTAGAGAATCAGTGCAACATAAATAAAATGGTCCAATCGAGCTGGATAATTACATTCGGGCGATAAAAGTTCTCAAGGTTGTTGTCGGCAGCGCAAGAGAGCAGGTTAGTTCCTTTAATTTTCCATTTGTTTTAACCGTTACCCTTGTATATCCATTTTGTTAGTATTGTTTTGTTTGAATGAGAACTGTCGTACGATGGCAGAGCTAGATTTATTAATCCGGCAGCGCGCGGCTGTTAAGGGAAATCTTACGCGGCAAAAATCATATCTAGAGCAAATTCAAGACGAGGAGATAAGCGAACGTATAGTCGTGGAACTAAAACTAAGGCTTTCTAAGGTAGAAGTTTTATTAGATAAATTTTATGAGATTCAAGATGAAATTGAGAGTAAAGTTGAGGAAAATCAGTTAGGGGCGCAAGAGCAGGAACGGGAAAATTTTGAAGTTTCATTTTATAGTACAGCGGCTGATTTTCAAGAGATTTTAAATAGTATTGAGACAAGAAATGTTTCCCAGAATGATAGCAATGGCATGGTACCTACTGAAAATGTATCTTCGGTAGTACCGCAAAAAATTGTACAATTGCCTGCCTTAAAATTACCTACATTTAGCGGCCGATACGATGCTTGGGTCGAATTTCGCGATGCATTTAAAGCGTTAATACATGAAAATTCCGGATTAACTAATGTGCAAAAGTTTTATTATTTAAGGTCGTCCCTTAAGGATGATTCTTTGAATTTAATAGAGTCTATACCAGTGTCAGATTCTAACTATCAGGATGTATGGCGGTTGTTGCATGACAGATATGAGCAAAAATCATTATTAATTCATAGTCATTTGAGATCATTATTTGAATACCCAGTAATTGACAG